CAACATAAATGATTCTATGATTCTATAAATTTCCATAGGGTCAAAGAAGCAAAAGGCATAGACTGTGTAACTTAGTAAGTTGTTTTTTGAAATGGATGCTTGCTCAAAATGTTCAACCTAGCTGTAGAGTCTTCTCACCCCTGAGAAAGAATCTGTTACTACGTAACGGGGCATGTTGCAGGGATTCCTATACTCTGTGAGGACCCTATAGTTACAGGGACATAACCAATCATGCCTCTAAACAGCAAGTTGCATCTGCTGTCTATCACCTAATAGCTTCCACAAGCCTTTTTCTTTCTCTGTCTTTTTCTTTCTTTTGTCTAGATCATCCATCCTACTTGCTCCATCTCAAATTAAATTATATTTGTCTGTGACAGCACTTTTAGTTGATCTCATTTGGTTAGGCAATTGTTTCTCTGTGCAAGCAGATCTCATTTATCATGTCTGTGTAGGCCTCTTTAGCCTAAAACTTCATTAATGCTGCTAGAAGCAGCCAGAAAGTCAGTGGTGTGAGTGGTCTCACACTCTAACCACAGGTGAAATCAATGTAGAGTTATCAGTTATGTGACAGAGGCAAGGCATTTCATTCTGCCTTTAAAAGCCTTATTCACCTTGCAGCTCTGACTGCCAGGATTTGTCCTATTAAATGTAATTTTAATTACTTAGCTAGTCCATTCACTGGACTCGTGCTTTTCAAATTTTTTGTATTCTTCTCTGTTACTAGGTAACTCACATAGATACTAAACATAACTCTGAAATATTATCTCAGTTGGAGCCATGGACAATATATTGTATTCAAGTGCAAGCAGTTATCCCCGAGTGGAACAAAACAGGGGAACTGAGTGGAGAGCTTTGTGAGCAGACAACCCACAACGGTAATACCTGGTACATCACAATGGGGCACGCGCTGTAGGGAACTAGGAAATGTGCAAAGCCATTCAAAATTAAAATCGGTGTAACGAGTAAACCTTCCAAAAATTGATGTGTTTTTTTGTTTGGTGGTTAATACGTGTGCACCTGTGGAGTAGAGTGAAAGTGAAAACGAACGAAGTGAAAACTACAAGCAATATAGCACTGATGGCATGATGCTTTATTGTGCTGCAGAGGCCTGAAAATCAGAGCTAAATGGAACATAGGCTCTTCACTGATCACATTGTGTGCCTGAATTTCTTTTACCATTAGCTGTATTCGTTATCCTATGAAAGCCTTTGTTCCGTATATGTGTAACTGCGAAAGGAATTGGACCCTGTGTTGCAGTCTGCTTCATCTGTGGCGATATTGCCAGTGTCTGTCATGAGGCTAGGCCATGATGCTCTTTTTCTGTGACACACAGCAGTTATCAATAATATAAACAATTATTTTGTCTCGATGCTTTCCTTTTCATTTTGAGGGCAGTTAAGTACCAAAAGCACTTTCCTTTTCAGCCACGCCACCTTAGCTGCTGTCTGTGGAGTCCAGCAATAACCACCACGTGGTCTGATGCTGTCGTCTTAGCAGGGAGCATTATGTCCCTAGTTAAAAGAAACAATAGAGTCCTAGATACTGTCTTTTTTCACAGGCGTAATGTGTATTTCAAGTAACTTACACCCTCAGATAACTTGTGGAAAATCAGAGACGCAAGTTGATGAGGAAGCCACCTGGGGGAAGCCTGAGGAAGCTACTGGGCTAACCTGTTTCTCACAGGTTTTTCCTCATATATTTTACCCACATGTATATTATCTGCATGCACTGCAGTTGAATTGCAGGTGGGTTTTGGTGGTGGTGTTGCTTGTTAGTTCGTGGGTAGAATAGTGCTTAGCAAGCGTAGGTTGGTTTAAAACATCTATACAGTGATGTATGGATACATCTTCATTCCCATTGCCTGTTGTGAAATCCCCATGCATGACATAATTTTTTTAAAGGCTCCGTAGTTTAGAATTTTACAGACTTTTGTCCCCTACTGTCTTTACTTTGCTGCCATTTTTACAGATTTCTTTAAGATAAAAATGGAAGCTATACTCTGGTAGCGTTATGTGCCAACTCCTACACTCCTGAAATGCCAAAGAGTGTACAATAGCTTTTTACATGATACCACCTTGTGGATGGTTCTGTTGGTTTTTCCTTTAATCATTTGCCTAGTATTGCATGTAGAATCACCAGTATGTGTAACGGTAAATATCTAAATATGATGGCTTGTAAGTTTTCTTTACTGAAAACTTCCTCAGCCTATTCAGACTAAAAATATAAGAGCTAAGAGGTATTTTGCATCTGGAAACAAAGACTTATATTTACAGTTTCAATTTTGTAATAGTTTGTTGGTTTTGTTTTGTTTTTTTCAAATTGCATAGAGAAAGTGATAATTTGAAAAGAATATATTCAGAAATTAATAATCACAGTTTAAATTTTTTTTCTTGTCTCTTGCAGGTGTAACTCCTGTGTGGATAATTGTGACCGTTCTCATAGGATCAATGTTGGTCATTGTAATATCTGTTCCTGTTTGTTTCTTTTCCTTTTTGTATTTATATCGACTCACCAGACACGTTTTCTGCCCTTCATATGTTTTCCCACAACACTTGAAAGAGGTTTGTTTTCTACCCAGCACAATTAAAATCAGCCTTTTCAGCAGAACCGCCTGACTTTCAAAGGCTCTCTGTGCCAAAACCTTTAGAGCTTCTTTTATTTTGTCTTCTTTCATTTGCACCTGATTGTTAGCCATCTGTAAAGTGCAGACTATTCTGAGGGGGTTTTAGACTATAAGGAGCAATGCTGGTTATTTGTTGTTATATAGTTATGTATGGTAAAACTCGCCCTTCTGCCAAACATAAAAAGCCGTTCAAATAAGCGTAAATGATGAAGTCATGAACTTTGGTAAAAGCTGACAAAGGAAGGTACTTTTCGGTGTGAGAAAGGTAGCGGAAGTTAGTTCATTTAATATTTAATTTCTGGCATTATAAGGTCATAAATTTTGCATGAATGTTACCTCAGTTTTTTCATCATGTTCTGTGGCACTGCATAGACATAAGTAAGAAGCAGCGAAATTAGACTTCCTTTTGAAGTATACTGATGTATAATAAACTCTAAAATACTGTCATTCTGAATTGTTCTGCACAGAATGATCCAAAATATTTAAACGCTGAACAACTTAAAAACTCGGCGTAGACTTTTAATCCTAAAGTAACTGCCTAATTTGTAATGTGAAGCTTTTATATGGCTTAGAAACAGGATGTTTTCTTTCATGTTAAAGTGAGAGAATAACAGGTGTTAACCTTCAGTTCCTCTTTTTAGATAGTGAACAACTGAGCTATCTGTCCCCGCTATCTAATTTTAGACTTAAAATTGCACATTTGTCCTCCTGAAACAAAGTTCTTTTGCAAATATAATAGAGTTTTATCTTAAGTAAAGAATGTAGTGAAATCTGAAAATTCAAGATGAAATGAGAGCAATGAATGTTAGCCATTACTGTTGGGGAATACCACTGACCCTGTTACCTATATGGCAACTTAAAAAGACTGTATCAGAATCTCCTCCAAGAAACAAGGCTATACAGTGTTATGTACGCTAAAGTTAGCAACCTGTACTCTTCTGAGTTTCCTGCAGTTTCTCTGGGTCTTTCATTTTGACTCATTTAGAGTTCAGCAGACTAAGGCTTTGCAGCTGACTTGGCAATCATCTTGTGCTTTAAGTTGAGCACATGCTCAGCACACAGTAGTTTGCTAAACCTGGAGCTCAGCCATTGGGAAGGTAGCATTGGTCTGATCAATACAGGATATGGTCAAATTTCATTTTGCTCACAGGTTTCTCACAAGAAAGGGAGAATTTTCATTTTGTGCTATTGGGTTATAGTGGTTAATCGCAGCAATCAAAGGTCAGTCATGCTTACGTAAAATGACATTTATCAAAGGCAGTGGTTTCACCACATGAACATTTGAGATTGCAGGTTACTGACAGAACATTTCAAATCACAGTTTGCTAGAAAAAGGTCTAATAGTAATAATATTAGTATTTATTTTTGTAATTACAGTGAACAGGACTCCTGACAGAGCAGCTTGTTTCTTATGTAAAACGCACTAACATAATAGACAGGGGTCAGGTAACAAGAACAAAATGCAGTTGTACTCCTCCAGCTGCTTCAGCTGCCAAAATGAGTGGTTGACATGTTATTACTGTGTTGAGTAGGTGTGCTGTTCTTGTGTTGACATTCAAAATACAGTCATGACATCCTGTGAAGTCCATGTTGATTCTTGAGGCCGGTTCCATCTTATCAATAGAACAGGAAGTGGGAGGAAGTTGTGATATTTCAGTACTAAAATTAAGTCATCTTTATCACTGAACTGCATAGCCCCACAAATCTCCCTCCCTCTCCTTTACTTGACTAAACAGTTATGGTTTATGTTGACATTTAAAGCATCACTATTTGATGTCTGAGCAGGAAGCTCTCTCAGACAGCAGGAACAATTCACATCTTTTGGAGCTATTTGACGAATCTCTATGCGAACTCCTTCACCTACAGTCAAGTCACCGTTTTTAGTTTTTGTTTCCAAACAAAACCTAGGTTTATTTTTTTAAGAAAGTTTATATTCCAAAGAAGTCACGAACCCCTGGGGTATCTTCTTGCAAGTAAAGGCACTTCCAACTTGCTTCCAAGCCTTGCACAGGGTGTTAAAGCGAGCAGAGAGGTTGTTACATTGTTGCCACTCTGGGACTTCTAAGGATTGAGAAAGCCAACTGATGTGTGGAAAACAATATAAAACATATTTCTAAGCAAACAGGATGGTATGGCTGGTGCAGCCTAATTCTCATTTCCTCTTTCCTTCACAGTTTTTGAACAAGCCTCCCAGTGGTTCGCAGTTTTTTCCTCCACTCCCACAAGAAGAGCGTTTTTTTTATGACAAGCTAACTGTCATTTCAGAAGAATCCAAAAATCAAAGCGATGAGACAGGGAATGAGGCCAGCAAGACAACAGAGCATCTTCAGGACTCAGAACAAGAAGATTCTGATTCAGGAATAGTACCAGCTTCAGAAAAGGCCTAAATGCACTCCTCATACTTCACTCGGACCAAAAGAAAAGCTAATGGGCTGTTGAGTTTATATTCTTATTGCTGCATTCTTAAGACAGTAAAAATTGATATACGAAGATGTGTACACAGACTTTTGACAGAATCTTATTATTTTTTTAAGTACAAGAAACTTGACTATAAATGAGGAATTAAATGATACGTAATTTTTGCCACTGTTTGTAGTGGCTCACTGTTAAGTTGTAGCAATACTTAGGATTGTATTATGACATTAATTTAAAAAGCAAATATATATATATAAAATAATAGTTAATTTAACTTTGAACTATTTATTGCAAAAGCTAATCCAAATGGCATATTGTATAGGGTTTGTAAAAGAAAATCATTTTATAAAGAAAGATGTGATCTTCTTTTTTTTAAAATGAGAAATTGTGTGTATTTCTTAAGGATATCCCGTGTGGCATAATCTTTCTATTGAACATTTTTTTACCTGATGCAAAATTGTAAAGTTGTTGTGATGGTATGAACTTGGTATGAATAAACCAAACACAAATATTTAGTGTGTTTTGCATTGCAAGGTGTTACTAATACTTCATCACTAAGGAAGATGGGAATGTACCAGTGCACTGCCAGATAGCCCTCTATGTTCAGGTATTGCTCAGTCCCCTGAGCCTCTGTCCTCCAGTTTCTATGGCTAATTACATTTTGCCTGCCTAATCCAGAGTCCACTGAAGTCTGTGGAAAACTTCACAGCTAAAGTGAGAGTTAAAAGGTAGGTTCGTTTTATTTATTTACTGATACGTAATTCAAAAAAAGTAAATCCAGGTTGATGTGGCTGCCATGCTACATAATACAATCTCACCTGCGTAGCCTTGCTCATGCATATGAAGGTTATGTCCACACCAACATCAGGGCATAAAGTGTGACCTTTGCGCTCTGCGCTAATTTTGTGAGTGACACACATTTTTTTGTGTGTATTATTATATCAAAATGAGAGTGAAAAATTAAATTATTTCAGCAAAACTAACTTGCCACGAGTGAAGTTGTGTGTAAATCGTAACTTGAGGTGGGAACTGCAAAATTTTTGACTATGGTTTTGAGGTTTGTTAATTAATGCATAAATATTCATTTCTTGGGAACTGTTGCAGGAAGAAAACATAAGGAGAACAGGCATTGATTATTTGTACCACCCAGCTATATGTAACCTGCACACGTTTTTTCTGCACTTTTTAATTTTCTTCATAGTTTGGTTTAATGTGGAATATGGAAAAAATGGGAATGCATTTTCCTTTTGTTTTGTTTTGGTTTTTTTTAAGGCATTTTGTTTCACTGGTGCTTTTCTTCACCTCTCACCAAAGCTGCTGTGTGAGTGCTGATCCTAATGAAGGCTAATGTCCTGTGTCTGGTACACCTCCCCACTGTAAAAATTCAACTCCCTGTGTGTTCCCTATCCCTCCTTCCTCAATAGCAGCTGCTTCTGGGTGTTGTGGGTTGTTTTTTTTTTTTTGGCTTTCGGAAAGGCAAAAAGCGCATAGCATAGCTCGTATGACCAATGCATGTACTAGCTGGCTAGCCAGCTGCTGTCAGAAGAGAAGAGGGTTGAGATTTCCCTGCCTTTTCCTCACTCTTTTAGCAGGGCTGCTTTCATCTACCCAGCGGCTGATTTTCATGGAAGAGCAGGAAGTTATTGTCTATTAAATGTGACTGAAACCAGGTTCATTGATAAACCAAATTGGGGGAGAGGAAAAAAATAATCTTGGCTATTCAGAGATAGTCTTTTTAGATTAAAGCAGGAAGAATGTCTGCAAGAACATCGTCTCCAAAATTTTGAGAGGTTGGCTTCCCCCGTTTAAAAAGAAGTAGTGTTTCCCCTCATGTCTTTGCCAATACCAGTTGTTGTACTGTCACATGAGGGAAAGACTCAGTTCTCAGAATACTGCTTCCTCTTTCAACGCATCCAGACATGTCGGGAAAGGAAGGATTTGCCCTGACCACTTTGTTTGTTTAACTTTTCTTTGATACGGAACGTGGTCTCTTTGAAGAAACAGATGGTTTAAGTTCATGTGAGCCCATCTTTAACATACTGTCTATATCATCATCAAAAAGCCTTTATATAGTGAATTCCAAAATGAAAAATACATTAAGATTCTAGCTGCACTACAACTAGCAAGAAATAGGAATGAATTTCCCAACTCTGCATCTCAATAGGTCACCAAAGTTTCCAGAAACTCCAGAGACCTGTACAATCCTAGCAAAGGTTCAACCCTCAATCATACCATGCTCCGATTGTCTGAGGACATCAAGCTGACAGAGCTGTTAGACTACACCATCGCTAGTGTTACTCTAGTGCAGATAACTTGGTAAATAAAGTTAGGAATTATATGCCACACAAAACAGAAATGAAGGCTCCAATGCAGATTATATTTAATAAAGATCATCCTGAAAAGGCAGAGAGACATTCTGTGAAATTCTGATTCGATTATCTGGTGCCAGAAGTCTTATTTCATGTAGAGCTAGCCTTGCAGAGCTAACCTTGTAGTCACAGCATCCTCTAACACTGATGTCTGCTTGTTTATCTGCTCTCCCTTCAGTCATATAAGCATCCAGCATGTGCATTTGTGCAGTGCAGCAAAGCATCATTTGTATTCCTGTTTATAAAGGAAATCAAAAGTAAATTAAATAATGATTTGACCTTGTGGAAGACTGTGATTAATGCTTCATTGCTGACTTCTCACCTCAGGTTAAATCACTTAGCTGCATTGTCCTTATAATTCCCTCAGCTCTTAAATGAGGATTATGATATGTAGATGCTGCAGTGATGGGAGAGACAGAAGCCCCCTAAGTAAGCAGACGGACATTGTGTGCGTAATGACAGAGCGAATAGGAGAGGGGTAAGGCCTGTAGCTAACGCATACAGCACCTGAGAAATCTCAGCAAGGCGGTTCAACACACCGTGAGGAGGACAGGGGAAGCTGTACGTTCAGTGACTGTTAGAAGACAGATTTAGGTTGCTGAACCAGGCAAGGCATTTCTTGGATGACTCCTATTTTCTTTGCTGAATTTCACTTTTCTGACTTCAGAAGAGGGTTTATGACTAAAAAGACAGTGATAAGCTGGACTTCAGAGCTGCTACATGTGGTGCTCATTGAGACCTGACTTGCAGTAAACGTGGAGCGTGTTCACCTCCAGGCATGATCCACAGCAGTTGAAGGCACCTGCCACAGACAAACGAGGTTCTTCCTCCACACATAGAAGGAACTTTATGTAAAATTTCAGGCACGTGATACGAAGCGCAAATACAGAGCAGTGCAACAAGGGCAGGAAGAATCCACAGCACTATGGAAAGGGAAAACCCAGCTCATTTTTCATTTCTGACTTCTCACCTCTGACATATTTTGTTCACCTCATTTCATATTAACCTGACTAAAACCCAGCTAAGCCATTAATGTCTACAGCTTTTACTCACACGTTACTAAGCAGCTATTCCTGGGGATTTTGGGTTTTTCCAGTGTTTTGTTATTTAATGGGCTAAGACCCAGGAAATCAGTTACAGTTAGATAAAAGGACTAAGTGACAAGGGGTGATGTATTCAGAAACTCTAATTCTAGCCCCACAAGGCCAATCCCTCGGGCTCTCCCAAGACATTAGCTCCTTCAGAAGGCAACTGCCTGGGATCCTTCTCTGGAACAGCATCTCTTTCCTTGATGACTATACTTTTTCCTCTTAGGCAAGGTTAGTCCATACAAATACCTCTTGGACATCTTGTATTCTTTCTTTCTGCCCTGCAGGGAAGTCGGGAATCTAGTTGTGACTGGCACTGAGGCCAGGCATGGCTAAGGTCAGATATCGCAGTGCCACTTGACAGGAATTAAAGCTGACTTCTACTTTTAACGGTCAGCCTTTCCCAAGGGCTCCTAAAAGCAGTCCAGATTTTTTTCTTCAGACTGGCCTGCAGTTTGTTTTGCTTCAGAAGTCTTCCTGTACCAAACTGAGTCCTCGCAGGAAAGCACTTGTAGGTGAGAGCCCTCTTCTTCAGCCACAAGAGCCACAGCTTCACTGGGATGTGTAAAATGAGCCAACAGGCCTGGTGACAAGGTGCAGCCTCTGGCTGTACCCAGATGGGCTGCATGGTCCCACAGGTACCCCAGGCAGTACATGGCACCTAGTGCCTCTTCAGAGAAGCAGTAATTTAGAGAAGAGTTGATCTTGAGCTAAGCTTGTAGAGAGTATGATGAAAAGGCATCAACAAAATAGGTGAACTTCTAACTGTGTTATGATTTAAACTGCAAAGTACGGAAGTGTGCTGCTAACTTTGGCACAGCGTAAAACACAGACTACTTTGAAGACCTGGGAGTTACTGGAAAAATATTTTAGACATGAAATGCAAAGCAAAGCAGGATGATTAAGGAATGGAGAAGTGGGGAAAACTGAGGGAGAGCAGTCTAGGCTTGTGGTGAACAAAACAGATTACAGAAGAGGGCAGTACGGTAAGACAGCAAGAGAAGTAACAGGAGTTTAGCAGGTTCCAGTAAAGGGAGTGGAGTGAGCTTTTCAGGAAGAAAAGGAACACTGGAGCCCATGGCCAACCAAGGGACTAGGGATGTGATTGCCCACCAGCTCCACATTTTTCTTTTATCTCTCCATATTGGTAACTTTAGTGCCTTCCCTCCCCAGCAGGTCCTGGAGGTATCAGGGAAGGCTGGCTGGCTGCAGAGTGCAAATCCGCATCTGCTGGCTGCCCGGCCAGAAAGAGCCCCTCTGAACAGCATAGCCAGAAAGGCTTTCAGAAACTTTAACTCTACATCCATGAAGCTATAGAAAAAGCGTTTAAATAGATTCTTAACCAGAAATACAGCATAAGAATTTGTGATATTAAGTTACCCATTTTTTTCTGAGGCAGGTTGGGAAATAACCATTATTACTTGGCAAAATGTAATTTTCTAGTAATTGTCAGTTATTGAATAAGTGGTATGGAGTGTCTGTGCAAAGCAAGGCTCCTTCACTTGATATTGCACT